AGATTGAATGTCACTTGGGGGTTGAATAAAACTGATAATGCTGTGAGCACAGAAAAGACATTTGTGGTTATTTCATTATAACTGTTATGTTATATTTGTCTGACCTACAAGTGCCTCTTTAATGTAAATGTAAGCAAGATGACTGAATGATCAAAAGCAATGTCAAACTGGCCAAAACACTCAATTTCAGTGGGGGTTGAATAATTTTGGTCACAACTGTATAACATGCATATATAAATGAACACCAAATCAAGTGAAAAGTGCTAAGTGCCGAATAAACAAGTAAACAGTTTGTGTAAAAGAAAAAAGTCCAATATCTTTTATTGACATATGAACCAGTGACATAAATCCAATTGTGACACCTCTTCCGTGAAATCCTTCACCTCTATGCACTCACTTGGTAAAAACAAGCCTGCAGTATTACTCCAATCTGTGACAGCTCCCTTCACTCATTCCTCTTGATGGATCTGATCAGAGGCAACCAGGACACACCTAAATAAGAATAGCTGTGTCTCAGCGGTAGCGGTAGCGCAGGGGACAGAACCCCCAGGAAGAGCAGGACACTGTCAACTGGAAATCCCTCCTTTCTCCCAAGCTAGTCAGCCATTCAGCACGTAGCGTACAGCAGCCTGCATGAAGAATTTCACGGAAGAGTTGTCACAATCAGATTTATGTCAATGGTTCATACGTCAATAAAAGATATTGGACTTTTTTCTTTTACATGAACTGTTCACTTGTTTATTTGGCACTTAGCACTTTTCACTTGATTTGGTGTTCATTTATATATGCATGTTATACATGCAAGATATTAAGCACCTAATGCCTGATGGCTTTATAATGTTGTCTATGAGTATGTTCATTTCACTGGATTATTTACATACATTTTTGGAACATAAATTGTATATAAATTGTTATTTTTATTTCAGTGGTTTGTAGTGCAGCACAGTGTGTTAGTTATTTATTTAGTATTGGGTTGGTCACCTTACAATGCTAGCAGCTGTCTAGTCTCCAAGTGCTTGCTATACCCCTCTCTTTTCGTATGTAGTGCAAAAGCCTGCCTGACTGCCTACAAATTGAATGTTTTTAAGTTTGACCTCATATCTTATGGTTTTGGTAAATCTAAAGGAAAATTGTACAAGAGAATTGTATAATGTATGGCAAGCCTTACTTGTCTCAGTAAATGTCTAAGCCTAAGCAGGCAACAGAATTAAATTAAAAGCTGTAGAGATTTCAGCAGGTCAGGCAATACAACTTAAACAAAGAATTTACTATTTAAAACTTGAAAATTAAAAAATTAATATTAATAAATCTTTATGTAATCACAGAAAAATTACAGAAAAACAGCTTATCTGTTTTAAACACAGATGCCATAATTCATAGTAACAGCCATAAGATTGCATTTTATATGTATATCAAGACATTTTATAAAACATATTTTTTGAGCAAGAACATAGTATAGCGATAATAATACTCAGACATTCATATAAAGCATTTGGGGAGGTAAAACAAAATGAAAGGTGCCATCACTAAAGGAACAGTCACTCACAGCAGTACGGATAAGTCACTGAAGGCATCATATGCACAAAAAAGAATTGCAAATGTAAGGGCTGCTATTTGACAATGAAAATGTCAAAGATAAGGATAGATTTTTCAAGACCCAGAAGAACAATACCTACAGAAGTTTTTATATACTTCTATATTGCCATGATCAATAAAGAAGTGAATGAAAACACGTCTCACATATTATAGCTATAGGAGTTATGGCAGATTAAAAAGACAACTAAAAGCTAAGTGGGTGTATATTATTTTGTGATATTGAGGAAGGTATAGATGTGGTGGCAAGATTCATAAAACTATATCCGAACTGCTGAAACCCTCCTGTACTATAAATTCAAAGAAATCCTATAAATAATGGGGGAACAAAAAAGCATGCACTGCAAATTGAAAATATAATCTGTTAGTATACTCTCAAGTGAAGCTCTATAAATACAGTATTTTTCATGATTCTGATTAAAGGATAAGGAAACCTGTCAGGCATTTAGAAGTCAAACAACAACCAGTTTTTATTTTTTTATTTTGATAGAGAAGGGAAGGTTAGACCTTCTGTCAGGTTTTTATTGTGGTCTTTTTCCCTACTGCAAAGATAGTTCCCACACTTCCTGTCAGGACAGTACATTATGGGAAACTTCTCCAATGCGGCCACAGACAATAAAAAGGAAAACTGATTACCAATACTTACCAAAACTTTCACTTTCTGTCCCCGTAGTATCACCCATGGGTTGACTCCATGCCCTGCTCAACCCGTGTAGACATTTTTTCAAAACATTTGAGTCTTGTACTATCAACAGCATTCCATAACTAGATACTCCAACTTCGTATGAGCTCAAATGATGCCAATGTGAAAGGTAAATTAAGGACAATTATGAATAGTATTGGTAATCAATTTTCCATTTTCTTGACACATGGGAAATAGTTACCACAGACTTGGTGGGATACAATA